TAATTAATTTTGTTTAAAGAGTACTTCCTCCGTCCCCACTTTGATTACAATTTTTTTCTCACTTTTTGATAACTTTTGTTTGTTTTCACAACAACAACAACAACAACAACAACAACTCAGTTGAATCCCACTACAGTAGGGTCTGGAGAGGGTGTTTGTACGCAGACCTTGCCCCTACTCGGAAGTAGGGAGGCTGTTTCCTCATAAATCTTAATTTATAATCAAATTGGGGACGGAAGGAGTATTAAATATTACGCGATGGCCGAGGAGTACAACTTTTGTAGATTTTTTTGTTTAAATTTTAATTTCTATTATCATTCTATGTTTTTTAAAGATGAAAGAGAAAATATAAAAAATTAATTTAAATTTAAAAGTAAGTCAATAATGAGTTTGGTGATCCCAAGTTTAAATAATTAAACAATGTTGTGTTCGCTGAACACATATTACATTGAAAGGAATTTGTTTTAAAAATCAGGAATGCATCCCCTTACTTTTTCACTGATTGGGAAAGCACCCGAATAATTTTGAATTGAATTTCCAAAAATATCATTGATGTGATGGGTAAAAGTAAGATGTGATGTGTAGCTTATTAGAAAAAAGGTTTGATGTGATAGGTAGGGTATGAAAAAGTAAAGAATAAAGTGGGTTTTTATTATAAATGGGAAGAACTTTTGGAACACAATTTTTTAAAGAAGAAAGACCAAAGTAGGACTAAAACGTTAAAAATATACCAAAATAGGACTTCCATGTTTTTATTCCCGAAATAAGACTTACATTACCATACATGGTCATATACATTACCAAACAAGTATAGTAATTTGCACATGTACACTTCCACATTACAACAGGGCAAAATCACATTACCACAGTGCAAAGTCCTATTTTGGGAAAAAAATATGAAAGTCCTTTTTTAATACTTTTCTCTATGTTTTAGTCCTATTTAGGGTGATTTCTAATTTTTTAAAAAGTGAAAGACTTTATGGGACGAAGGGAGTATAAATAATGACGTGATTAGTGAAACATGAACTCTCCCCCCGTATGTGGCTACAGTTGGTCGGTATCAAACATCGTTTTGCTTTGGGACAATTTCATTCTCATTCTAAACATCCGTACAAATCATGTTATTTCAAAGTTTTCTTATTATTCATCAAATTCCTAACTCTCTAGTCACACTATAGATGATTTGTTGATATCCTCTTTTCATGAGCAGTGTACAACTTTAGAGGTACAATATAGATACCGAAAAATTGAGATAATAAGGAACTGGCGGTTGAATAATGAAATGGGTCATGCTACACTTATACCACAAATTGTACCCCATTTGTACACCGCAGTTATACACAAACATTTTGATGGTTTACACCGACACAAGTGTTGGTGCGTTAACAAAAATTTACACGGACACAAAGTGTTGGTGGATTAACAAAAATTAGTTTTGCAACAACACAAAGTGTTGGTGCAAACCTGCAGGGTACAAAGTGGGGTATAAAACATGGGGTACATATAGCTTTATCCTAATGAAATACGAAGTAATTGATAGCGATGGATTTGATTGCAAAGGTAAAAGTTTGGTTCGATTTTTCCATTTTGCTTTTTTATTACATGGTTCAATTAACTTATACTCCGGGTATTTGGTATTTGATCATTTCAAGCTATTCTTAGTGGTTAAATGTTTGCTCTCTTCACCGTATCGAAACGATGTTGATCTCTGATAAGAATAAGTTCTGAGAAGATAGTCTGGTCAGATTTTGGTCTGGTCTGATCTGAATGTAGCTATATTTAAAATTATTTTTTAACTAATCTGATCTGATTTGATCTAAATGTAGTGTATAAAACATCTCATGCATTTTTACTCCGAGTCAAACTCGACTATAACACCCTAGTTTGGAAGGATCAAAGATGGTGTCACTCTTGTTGTAGCATTGCCTTGCTTTCATGTGTTGCTTTCACTACACAGTTACTTTACATAATACTCCGTAACTTAGCTGTCAAAGCTATCATAAACAATTCAACACACGTTAACAACGTTTAATGTTTCTAAATTCATACTCCGTATAATCCAAAACATGACAATGAAGAAACATCATCAAATTTTACAAGAATTAAGCTAGGGGTACACCAACATGGGGTACCCCAAGTGTACACCAAGCCAACACAGACACACACAGACACAAAGTGTCTGTGTTGCACAAACATTTGGTGTCTGTGTGTGTCTGTGTTGGCTTGGTGTATACTTGGGGTACCCCATGTTGGTGTACCCCTAGCATTGCCCATTTTACAATATACATACTGTCCAAATAAGACACGTTTGGTAAAATATATTGAAACTAAGGGAGCGTTTGGTTTGAAGAAAACATTTTCACAAAAAAATTAAATTTTAATTTTATACATTTGCTTATAAAAGTGGTAGAAAAATATTATCTAGAATAAATATTTCTGATCGATATTTGGATGTTAATCCATAAAAAATATATTCTCTTCGGCCTTGTTTGGATGTTAATTGTCGGATGTTGTGGCATATGGTATATATACACGTAATTACCATCGGTTGAATTGTCGAATAATAACATTCTTCGAAAACAAACAAAAAAAATAACAAATAATGTCAAAAACCCAAACAAAAAATGATACTCCCTCCGCCTAAAAAACAATGTCGCAGTTATTATTTTGGCTTCTCGATAACTTTTGTTTGTTTACTCATTTTGATTGACCATTTGATAAAATAAAATATTTTTATCACATCTTGTTTTGTAGAACTTTTGATTTACTTTTGAATAGTTTAATTTTCATTTTTTACTTCCCTACCAATTTGTAAATAAAATAATTTTAAAAAAGATTATATTTTGCACGTCCTTCGGAATATCGTAAGAAAAATTTACACTAAATAGCACTAAAACTTAAGTCGTTTCCCTAAATAGCACCTAAACTGTTTTATTTCCTAAATAGCACTTAATAATTTCTTTAATGTCCAGTGGTGGTGAATATTTGCTTGAATTATGACTAATGCATAATGACTAAAAGTGCTACATTAGGAAGAAAAACATATGTGGTGCTATTTAGAAAAGTCATTATGTTTTAGTGCTATTTAAGTAAATTCTTCCTATTGTAAACAATTTGAGATGGAGTACGTTTGTTGACAAAAACGATAAAAACTAAAAATAAACAAAAAAAACAAAAAAATGTTAACAAGCAAAAAAGGAAAGGAAACTTTTTTGTTAACGAATAATAGGCCAAATAGCTCCGGTGCCCCCTGTGGTTTGGACAATTGGCACCAATACCCCCTTTTCAAAACTTATTTCTAAAGTCCCCATGGTTTCAGAATGCTGCACCCGTGCCCCCTCTGATCATTTTCCGGCCATTTTCCGGCGAAGAGGGGGTATTTGTGCCTAATTTTTAAACCATAGGGGGCATTCGTGCTCATTTTTTATTTTTCGTTTATTATTTGGGTTTTTCTTTTTTTAAATATTTTCTATCTCTTTTTTCTTTTCCTAGATTTTTTTCTAATTTATTTTCAATTTTTTATAATGTTTTAAAATTTTAAAATTTCTTTTGTTTAAAATAAAAATAAAAAATTAACATACATTGCATCTATTTGAAATTAAATATTTTCATTTTTTGTTACGTACTTATTTGGAAAGTTCAAAAAGAAAAACTTAGAATAAAAAAATAAAAATATGGAAAAATAAAATGAAAAATAAAATACACAAAAAAAGTCTGATACAAAAAAATGGACAAACCTAAAAAAGTCCTTAGAATTGAGATGTTCGAAAAAAATATTCATTTTTATTTTTCTATTATTTTGTTTCTTATTTTATTCGTCATTTTTTTGAAATTTTCAAAAAAAAGTTTACTTTTTTTAGAAAAAACAAAAATTGTTGATTTGAGAAGTACATATACATTATATGTTAATTTTTTCAAACAAAAATAACTTTAAATTTTATGAGTATTATAAAAATAATTTTAAAAAAACCTTTATTAATAAAAGAAACAAATAAAGGAAAAAAATGGAAAAAAAACAAAAAAATAAGCGAGAAATAAATATTAGCACCGATATCCCCTGTGGTTTAGTAAATATGCAACAATGCCCCCCTTCATCGCCGGAAAAATGTCTGGAAAATGATCAGAGGGGGCACGGGTGCAGCATTTTGAAAGCACAAGTTTTGAAAACAGAGGGGGTTTTGGTGTCTATTTTGCAAACCACATGGGGGTACTGGCGCTATTTGGCCACGAATAATATCAACTTCTTTTATCTCTTTCTTCTTTATAATTTTTAACCCTATTTTTCTTGATACTTTAATATTGTTGTTTTGTATACGATATTTTTTGTTTGATAACAAGTACACAGGAATTCAGTGTAAAAATATTATTAGATCTAAACTTGAGTAATTTTATTACACATAGATCCGCTATTTATAATAGCTACAAGACCATAATCTAATTATGAGCCAAACAAAAAATGAGTCGGTCAACGACAAATCCTAATACATTCTCTAACATTGAATATATTATACTCGAGAAATTAACGATCTAACACTCGTGAACATTTAATTTTTTCCTTTAGTGTGCAATGAAGCCAATGATATTTATACCATATTTAAATAGGGAGTATTTGAGTTAGGCATTGGAAAACAAAAAGCAGGGCAGTGTGACTGTGAGCCAGTAAATACATAGCCCATAAAAGGCCGAAACGCAGCTGGGTTTTCTATTCTGACTCAATTTGGACAGCTTGCCTTTTCTTTTTACCCTTTTTTTAATTTTAACTGCAAAAAAAATTACTCCCTCCGTTCCAAATTATTTGTCACATTTCTATTACCGAAGTAAAATATTAAGTTTTTTCAAATCATTTTATTTACATATTGGTAAAGAAATAAAAAATAAAAATTACATATAAAAAAACTACATGAAAAGTTCTTCGAAATAAGAGGTGTCAAGAATATTTTATTTTATCAAATAAGCAATGAAAACGTAGAAATGAACAAAAGTTCCCGCGACTGTTGAAAAAGCAAATGTGTCAAATATTTTGGGACGGAGGGAGTAAGTGATTTCCGATGCCAACCTTTTTACCAAATTACCCCTCCCACTTTCTCCCTATATATACCAACGTCCAAACCATATATCCAACCCCCACCCACCCCCCTCTCTCTCTCACTCCTTCATCTCTCTCCGTCCGCCATGGCTAAAGGAGGAAAGCTCACTAAGCTCAAATCCGTGCTGAAGAAAATGCAGTCCTTCAAACTCGGCTGCCCCAACGGAACCTCCGCCGCCTCCGTCGCCGCCGCCAGCTCCTCTTGCGGCGACGAAGTGGAGACTAATAACAACAACTACAACAGTTTCTCCGACGCCGGCGGCGATGGCAGCGTCGGCTGCGGCGACTCGAGTCTCCTCCGTCCAGTCTACGTCGGGAAATCTCGCCGGAGATACCTCGTGGGCCCGGACGTCGCCGAGCACCCGCTCGTCCGCGAGCTCGTGGACCGGTCCGGTGATGGTTCGGGCGACGGTCCCATCACGGTCGGGTGCGAGGTCGTGCTCTTCGAGCATCTCCTCTGGATGCTCGAGAATGCGAACCCGCAGCCCGAGTGTCTGGATGAGTTGGTGGAGTTCTACGCATGCTGAAAACTGATCATTATGATTTTTGTGATATATATCAAAAGTTGAATAAATCTAAATAGGTTATAGATTTATATTTATTCAACTTTTAATATAACTAAAATTCAAAAAAAAAAAAGCCATAAGGGAAGTTATGTGGTAGTGAATCTGAGGTGTTTTAAGTGGTTCTATGTCTCACTCAAAGTAAAATGTAAGATCGTTTAAAGCAAAACAGGTTGGCGTAGAATTTCCCATGGCATATATAGTTACTCCGTAATTTGTAAGTATAGTTTTCTCTTTTTTTTCCTGAAGACAACAATGTTTAATGAATTGATTATTAATTACAAGTACTTTTTAGTTTTTACTTTTTAGTAGCACTAGACAAATACTCCCTCCCTCCCAAAAAGTCTTTCCTGTTTCATTTTTTACGCATACTATAAAATACTTCTACCAACATCTAAATGCCTAAAATTTACAACATTTCTTCTTTATTATCGGTAGAAGTTATTTTAAAAGTTTTTTTGGCATTCAAGCCGGGATAGAAGTGTTTTATGGGGTGCGCAAATAATGAAATAGGAAAGACTTTTTGGGACGGAGGGAGTACTATTTGGGTCTCGAAGTATGAAATATTTGCACTAAATAGCACTAAAACTTAAGTCATTTCCCTAAATAGCACTTAAATTATTTTATTCTCTAAATAGCACTTAATAATGTCCATAATGTCCCGTGATGGTAAATATTTACTTGAATAATGACTAATGCATAATGACTAAAAGTGCTACATTGGGAAGAAAAACACATGTGGTGCTAATTAGGGAAAGTCATTATGTTTTAGTGATATTTAAGTAAATTCCCCCTCGAAGTATTTCTCATGTTTTGATTACAAATACTCTGATTAAATAAAATATATTCTCTTTGTTCCTATTTTGATTACAAAATGACGATTACGAGGTAATATCCCACGATTTTTTAAATCATTTTATTTACAAATTGGTACATCAATAAAAAATAAAAATTACAAATTAAAAAACTACATCCAAAGTATTACTCCCTCCGTCCCAAAAATTTTGTTACGTTTAGAAAAAATTGCGTCCCGTAAAGTCCGTTACATTTCTATTAAAAAATCACTTTACCCCTTACTTTTTCATACCCTACCTATCACATCTGATGGTGTAAATATAGCTGGGTGGGTTGACCGGGTCTGACGTGGACACTTGACCCGTAATATAAAACACACAACAAGAACACCAAGTATGACCTAGACCGGGCAAATCTTCTCAGTCCGAATTACATTTCTTACTCTATCTCAAAAGTGCACTTTTTTAGTGTGAGAAAGAATCCCCCTCTCCTCTATCCAATATCATCATATTTATAGAGGAGTTGTGACCTTCCCATGTTCATCCATGGACAAAATAGGAAGCTCGTGGGAAGGTCACTGTAGTTAATGGGAACACTGTACAATCATTGATTTTAATAGCTACAAGCCAAGACATTGTTCAATCAAAGACTATAAATGGATATTCTCAATCCAATCAGCCCTGCAAGAAGACAAACATCCCTTTCACTGTTTGCCTCGTGATGGATGAGCGGCGGGGTGGTCCCTCGGTCTTTGACGTGGTTCGCCATGCCTGAGAGACTGGACCAATGTTAGCCAAGTAATGTGATATGACCGGTCACCTTTTCTCAGAGGTTACCCGGTCATTTCTTGAGCTCAACCAGTCTCTTTGGTCTTCTGGAATATCCTTCGTAACATTAGGTGATATTTTGGCTATCGCCTAAAATGTGACCGGTCACTTTTTTAAGGGAAGTGACCGGTCAACTTTTGACTCGTCCCAATCGAAGAGTTAACCTCATTTGGTGATTGATGAAAGTGACCAGTCATATTTTGACATGTCCCTTTCGGTTATCCGGGCCGGGTATAGGGATATACCCATCAACATCATACCTTTTTCCTAATAATCTACCCATCACATCCTACTTTTACCCATCTCATCAAGAGTATTTTTGGAAAGTCAATACCAAAAAATATCCCTCCTTTAATTTCCCAAAAAGTCAAACCGTCCCATTCTTTTTGGGACGGGAGGAGTACAAAACAAGACCTGACAAGAATATTTTATTTTATCAAATAATCAATGTAAACACACAAATAAACAAAAGTTATTCTATAATTGGTCCTTTATAGTAGGTGAGTTTCCCTTTTTAGAGTCTTCTATTATTAAATATTACCTCGGTGGTCCTTCTTTTATGATTATCTTTCCACATATAGTTTTTTTTTATCTTCATTCATCTTGGTGTTCGATCATTTGTGGGCTAAAAGTATAATTTCACAATGATAATATATCTTTCTTGTCATACACAATTATAAAGACCGCTCATGATGCGTCGTTTGTAAATTACAGTTGTTTTCTACTACAATTATACTCTACAATGTGGTCTTTCATTGGAATCATAGCTCATAATCATAGTCATTATTTTTTTGTTATTCGTCTATCCAATATTAGAATACATCATTGGATATAAGGTTGATGTCAAATTATATTTTTAGCCTTTTAATTAACACCAACATGACAGAAGATTAAAAACGGGCCATTTGTGAAAAGGCACCCATAAAAGGACTACGGAAGTAATATTTGATAACAGAGGACTAAATATAGAAACCTCTCCTGTTAGAAAGGATCAATTATGTAATTTAGTCAAATAAAAGTGTAATGAAAATGAGAATGGAGCGAGTATATTATATTTTAATTAGATAAAATGATAATTTTAATACCAATCCTCCATCTCCCTAAATAATGTCCATATATCTGCCAATATCATACATAACCTTATCTTTGTTTGTAAACTTACATGTGATAATAACTAATCCATTGAATTTGATTCATCGGGTTTCTTTGTGAAGGACAATTAGATGGGAGTTGTGATTCATCGATCCAATAATGATGGCCCTCTATATCCACTATTCCCATCGGATCCATCCACCCATGTTCAAGTTTCCAGAGTTGATTCATAGACTTGGCATTGTCGCCTTGGTCATCCTAGCCCCATTGTCATCCTTGGAGTAGTCAGTCATGTTTTATTGTCTTTAATTACAATCCTAATGCACAATTTTTGTCACGTGTGTCAATTGGGCAAACATACTCGTTTTCCATTTTATTTATCAAGCTGTGTCTCAAGTTTTCTTTTCTAATTATTACATACTGGTTTATGGAAGTCCCATGTCCCTAGTCTTAATGGTTTTAAATTTTATATGCTATTTTATATTTTCAATGATTATTTTCACTATTTATGGGTGTTTCTTCTCTCACATAAATCAATGTCCTATCTCATTTTACCCGAATTTTAGCCTATGTAAAGAACCATTTTAATACTACAATTAAATCAATTCAGTGTGATAACGGTACTGAAAACTGTGACTCTCCCCTCTAATCGCATTGTGCCTTTTTGGGGATCCTATTTCGTTTCTCTTGTCCTTTCACGAGTCAATAGAGTGGTCAGGCAGAGCGCACCATATGCACCATCAATAATACTATGGGTAGTGATAGCTACACCCTTTAAAACACTAAAAACACTTCGTCAACTAAATTCACCCCTTGATGCATAATTTTAAAAACCTTATATACATTTACTTAATGAAATTTTTGTATATAATTTTGTAAAACTACCTACCATTTATTTGATTTTATTACTTTTCAAAAAAATATACAAATTTGAAATTTAAAACTTTGGTAAACGTTATACTATTTTTTCATTAATTAATATAGATTTCATTTATTTACATTCAAATACCATTAACTTTATATAAATCTTTCTGTTTTGTAATTATTATACAATATGCTTTTTACCAACTTATTTTTATGCATTTTACAAAGTCAAAGTTGTAGAATTAAAATTTGTATATACTTTTTAAAAATAATAAAATGAAATAAATGATAAATATTTTTAAATTTTTTATTATAATGTTATTCTTAATGTTGGGTTAAGGAACTTGGGGGCCTAGGAAACTAGGCGGAAGAGTATCGAACTAAGTCGAGAGTGCACAAATTTGGGGTCAAGTAAATTCAGAGTATTATTGTGCCTCATAGAACGTAAGTCCCCTTCCTTTGGAAGGGGTTTATATGCAGATTACAACATTGGGTCCCACTAAGATTGGGTTGATCACTGGCGGCGTCCAACCACATCATTACCCCTAGGATTGCTACACAAAATAGGTTACAAATAGGGTGGCTAGAACAACTCTTCCAGAGGTGTGGCAGGGGTCTAATCGTGGGCCTTTGATCTTGACTGTTTAACCAGCTTCCTTGTCCGGATCTGGTCTGCTGTCGCCTAGGGCCGAGGCCGAGCGCGTGCCCTAACTTCGGAAGTCCCTTGGTGGAGGGCCGACCGGGGTTAGTCCGAGGATGACCTACCCTGCCGAGGCCGAGCGTGTACCGCTGCCGGGGTGGCCTTCCCTAGTCCTTTGTTTATTCTTGCTTTTGGTTCGGCTAAGTGGGCCTTAGCTAGGTTGGGCTGGGCCGCTTTTCTGTTGGGCCGGATACCCCCCTTCCCGGGTATCCATCACTTAAAATAAAAGTTTTTTATAAATTTTTAAAATAAAAACAAATTTATGCGGGGTGTATTTAGTTAATGGGGTACAATTAGGCTCCGTTCCGTTCGACTTATTTTTCTGATCTGATCTGATTGTAATAAGTTCTGATCTGATCTGGTCTGATCTGATCAGGTCTGATCTGATCTGATTGGATTTGATCTGATCTGATCTGATTGGATCTGATCTGATTGGATCTGATCTGATCTGATTTGATCTGATTAATTATGATTTAATTTAAAATTTCAAATCAATAATTTAATTTGACTTTATAATAACGTTTGAAAATTGTAATGATAATTCATATTATAATATAATCAATATTTTTTATTTAATGATTATTTTTTAATAAAATAAAAATAGTTAATTCATATATTAGAATAATCATTCATATTATAATGTAATAATATTTTTATTTTATGATTATTTTTTTGTAAAATTAGAATTTTACATTAGAATAAATATTTAATTTAGATATGCATTAAAAAGTAATTAAATTTAGATAATCAATATATAGAAGAGATAGTATTTTTATTAAAATATCTCATCCTTATAAAAGATCAAAAGTTTAAAAACTCAAATTACAAGTAGCAATAAAAATATATTTTAAAAGTAAAATTAGATTGACATTGTCAATGTAT